AACATGAATAGCCTAAAACCATGTGATTAAGAGTTCCAAGACAATTTTTTGTTCTAATATTTGCTCTTTGACCCCAAGTACTAAAACAGTCTTTACAGTTTCCTGAGTGATGGGAGTGTTGCACCAGAGCTTTGAAATACCTTTGAATTTCCTATGTAATAAAGCTCATCCTTGTTATAATGAGGCAACCCATCCTGGTCTCCTGGATAGCTTCAGGAAGAGTGCTAGTCTGACTGCAAACGGTTTAGTGATGTATTAAGACATTTGGAGCTTTCAAACCTTCCCAGACCTCTGTAGCAGTAATAAGGGGCTCAGAGCTGAGTTTATTACTGTCTTGGTTATTTTCTCTCATTTCTGAGACAAAACACCTGACGCTCAAAGTTAAAAGAGGGAAGGTTTACTTAGGTCACACCTTGTGGATGTTTTAGTATGCAATCTGTTGGCTCCAAGGCAGGCTGGCATATGGCAGAGGAGCAACTATTCATGGAAGTGCGAGACAGCAAAAGAACAAGAGCACATGGGAGGAGCAAGTTCCTTTTTGTCCCCTACACTGTATGTCAGCTGCCTGCCCTCGGATGGGTGTAGTACTCACATCCCAATCACAGCACTAGGCAGTGAAACAATCAATGAATTTGAAGAAGCGATTATGAGAAGCCCAGCTTCTAGCCAGTTGGTCTGAAGCGAGGAAACCAACTGGAACTTGCAACTAGAGTCTGAAGAGGGCAGTTTTTAGGGAGTGAGACCTCAACGTGGAGGACGTGATGCTGTCTCAAGTATATTAATGTCAGAACTGAGTTAAATTATTGGACACCAGTTGATGTTTGCTGGTGAGCAGGGAAAAGAAAACAGATCTGTTGGAAGTAATGTTGAGTGCATATGAGAATGGGAGGAACACTTTGATTTTTTCTCTCTTACAAAAGTTTATTTGGCTCTCATACCTTATAAATTCTGGGACTAGCACAACAATAACCACATAACTACAAATATTTTTATTTTATATAAAATAGATTAAATGTCTTCCATGAAGGACAGAAAACGACTTTTAATACAATATTTCCAAAAGAAAAGCATACATCAGTCAAGTGAAATATAAAATTAGTTTCCTGAAAGTTAATTTGGCCTGGTACAAGCATTAATGTGCAGCAACAATGAAAGGCCAGAAAATATCACTCATAAATCTAATCCTTGTACTGCTAATCTTTTGACTATCATTCTTTTATTTGGTACGAAAATTGCTCTGTAAATACAAGCTCAAAATAAGGCAGGTCAAAAACATTAATGAAAAATTATTTTATTATTACAGTTATCCCCAAATTTTATAGTTATTTCACAGACCAGCTGATTTTGGTCTTGGCCCCTTCTCTATATGATCTGGCTATAAAAATTGGGAACTTACCTTCAACAATTTTTTTCTCATCAAACAGTATTAACCACTTCTGCTTTCTATGGATTTATTCAAAATAGGAGAACAATCTGAATAACTGAAAATGTAAATATTTATTATTTCAAAGAACATGTACATATATACAATGATACTGTAACATGTCTGGCAGGGTTGGGTCCAGGCTGGTGGTGTCCTCTGAAAATGGGAGCAGCTTGGCTTCATCTCATTCTTGCTACTATCCCAGCATCATTTAAATGTCAACATTCTGCCCTCTGATACAATGAACAGCTGATTCTGTGGTGGCGTCCCAGAAACTCTCATAATTCCTTCCACAAACAACAGGGCTATACTAAACACAGTCCCTTGCCAAATATCCATTTGTGGGGCAATTTGCTCTTTTCAGTCTCTATCTAGAGAAGAGAAGAAAGGTTGTAAGGCTATAGATGGACTGATCATCATGCGATAGGGAAGTGAAGGATTAGCTACTGACATTTCCCATATGCGGGACAAATAAACTTGGGAAGAAGTTAGAATTAACATGAACCAAACCCCTTAAGGAGACTAGATCTCTGTTCTTAATATTTTCTGATGAAGATTAAAATGAGGACCTGAGAAACAGGTGGATTTCCCAAATTCCAAAATACAATCTTTGATGAGGCAAAAGATAGAGTATTTGTTATCATAACAGATATGTTTAAATTTTTACATGATAGCATTTAATAGCGACAAATAAATATTTGCATGCCTGTGTTTGAATTGTATATATCCAAACCATTACCATACTTTCAGTTATCAACACTTTAAAAAGTTGTTCATTTCACATGGCAACACAATCAACATTATCTTATTTAGATATAAAATAATCTTTTGTGAAGGCAACACAATGCCAATTATCAATCTGCTCCCAGGTCAGTGTTTCAGTGTTCAAAGTTTACTTTCAGCGGGAGGTGGGGGAGTATTTTCCTAAAATGTGTTTATAAACTGTACTTAAGAATAATGACTGTGGGGCTGGGGATTTAGCTCAGGGGTATAAGCGCCTGCCTTGCAAGCAGACAGTCATGAGTTCGATCCCTGGTACTGATAAAAAAAAAAAAAAAGAATAATGACTGTGTTGCTTCTTTATAACACTTCAATATTAAGCATTATCTACTAAAAATAGAGGTATGAATAAAAGCTAGTTAATAAAGAGTACAGTGTATGATTGGAGGTAGTCTGCAGTTGATAGGCTGACACTTGAATATCACCGAAAAGCATACTGGTAAGTATACAAATGAGCTTTAGTTTCCATTTCAACTTTAACAACTTACTTATGTAAGTTCTATTCTCTAAGGCTATCAAATAATGATGTAAAACCAGTAAAGAGTTCTTCCTAAAATTAGCATTCATGAAATTCAAGTACTTTTCTGTAGTTAATAAAATACAACTACAAAAACAAAGTTCAATTGTAATACTTGTGCATATTTTAATAGTTGGTTAAGGTTAACTGCTCCCTATAAACTTGCAGTTTTCTTTAATCTTCTGCACAGATGACAGAGAGTGATGTATCCAAATTATTATCAGTTAATGTTGCTAGGACCACTAAGTGTATAACCAGTCAGACTGGTTGTTGGTAATTTGGCTATGTCATTCTCTGTGAATAAAGAATGCAGTTAAATAAAGGTCCTATGAGAAAGAGCATTGCTTAATTAGCAATTAGGTAATGCATGATCTTGTGACCTACTTCAATTGTTCTAGAGATATTTTAAAATGTTGCTTAAATTTGTAAAGTAGCTTCTAATTTTCCACTGTAACATTTTATTCTCACAAAATCCTACTCTGTAAAGTAGACTGTAACATAGGTAAGGCACGTGGTAAAACTTAATGCATGGTGAGCAGGCTGAGGCCTCAGAAAGGTCTGGTGATTTATTTAAACTTTCCATAATTCTTAGTTTTATAGAGCTCAAGTCATAATGAATCAACTTGCAAAAATGACATAGGATGATAATCATTACTTCACATCTATATATGTAAGACTGTCATTATTACATATATACTATATATATATATATATATATACTATATGCTGTACTCTACACTATACTATATAGCTATATGCATAAATGTATAAAACTATATAACACATTCTTGTTCTATTCATGCTTTTTATGGATTTCTTTATAAAACTTTGACTAGTTAGGAATCCCAAGGCTCCCCAGCAATTTGGTGAATCAGAATGTGTTCTGTCCTCACATCTCTCCACAGGTAAGTCTTGTGGTTTAATTTTGAAGATGATCAAATAAGTAGTAAAATTTTGACCTCACATGAGAGACACATTCTAAAACCCAACTTTTCTATCAATAATGGTGATCTCTTAATATATCGATTCAGTTTCACAACCTTTAACATTCCAAATAAGTTATTACCAACTCAACAGAATTTCAAGTTGAAATCTAGTGTCAGTTTGGCTCTAGGTAATAATTTTCTTTGAAGATAAGTTTATTGTTAGTTTTTTAAATAAAATTTTCTAGAATGACTCCAACTTTTTTTTTTTTAATTTCTCACTAATAAATTCCAGTGTCCTATGTTGGCTCCACCACTTACTTAGCACCTAAAGTATGACAGTGCATTTTGTGAGCTACATTGTCATTCTCGAGATGAATCCCAAACCTAGTTAAGGAAACTCCTGCCTGTCTTGCTCATAACACCTCAGAAGGTTGACCTGTAGGTTTCAGTGAATACTCATCTTAATGATGAGATTACAAGGAAATTATTATGACAATGTTAATTGTGAATTGTGTGTAGAATTATTCATAAGCCATTTATATATGAATGGGGTGAACTTCTAACTCTCTAATAAGAAAAACCCCTGCAAAGACTTCTTTAGAGACATCGCAGTTGTAAAGGTGATTAAAAGTCAGTGCTTTTGGAAAAAGAAGACATTAATGTATCTTCCAAAGAATTTTAGAGGAAAAACATCAGTGCCATGGAAATGTATGAAATATAAGTTTTTAAAATAAGCACATGAAAGCAGTGTATTGAACTCATTACCAAGAGAATCAGTAAAATGCTACAACTTATTGAAAGGAGCCAAAGAGTAAAGACAGGTAAGGAAAGGATTGCTAGGGCGGATCCACAAGTGGACGCATGACTGTCTTCTTCAGCAGAGCAGGAGGAAATCAGCTGACTCTTCACAGGCCAGAATCTCTTTGCATAATAAGGTTATTTGCACTACCGTGAATTATCAACAGTTTCAACATTTCTCCAATTAATACACAGAAATCTATAGAAGAGAAGTTTCCCCTCTGACTCTTATCTCAACAGACCAAAGACATACACTGCTGTAGGACTGATGACTTGATAACAGAGAGGTGGTATTTCAGCGAGAGGATCCAGTCATCCTCTGGTTTATTCCAAAGTCTTCTTTCTGTTGTTTGTTTGGCTTTTGGTTTTGCTTTGTTTTCGAGAAAAGATCTCACTAAGCTGGTCTTGAATCCAGTATTTAACCCAGGCTGGCCTTAAACTCATGGCAATCCTCCCGTCTCAGCCTCTCAAATGCTGTACAAAGTCTTAAATTACATTTTACACTTGCTAAAATCTAATCTGCCAATGATGCCATCATTTTTTTTCTTTTTTTTAATAGGAGAGAGGGCAAACACAATCTTCCACTACCATAAATTATGCAGTCAAGTTTCCCACATTTGGGAAATCACAGGGGTCAGCACATCCATCATACAATGGATAAGCCTTGCCCCGGGGAAACCACCTTCATGTTCCTGGTGTCTCCCCTGCCAGGTAAGTATCATCATCATCATCATCATTTTTAAAAAATAGTTTATAAAAAATGATTTATAAAACAAAAAGCAACTAGAATGTAATGGTTTATAATGAATAATTACATTAAAATATCACCTATATTAAAAGCTCTATAGTAATTAACAAATGGGAAATGTGTAACAGGTTATGTTTTTTTATATTTGCTACTTATTTTAAACTTTTAAACAATGCTTTAGATTTTCTAGTTAGTATATGTTTGCAGTACATACTAATTATGTTTGTTTTGTGAATTGATTCATATACTTATATATACTCATATATATCATCTTCATCATTTTTCATTCTCTTTCTCACCTCCTAACTAACCCTCTCTTCCCCTTCTCCATAAAAGCTTCTCTTCCAAAACTTTACTTTCCTGTTTCCTATCCTGTCTTCTTTATTTTGTTCTAGGCTTCTCACACAAGAGAAATCATTAATTAATCTTCATTTTACTTAATATTAAGATACTTAACATTTGTGGCACTGGGTATTGAACCTAGGGACTTCACACTGAGCTACATCCTCAGGCTTTTTCCCAATTATTTACTTCGAGATGGGGTCTCCTTAAGACGGTAAGCTGCCCATGCTGGGCTGTAACTTGTGGTTTTCCTGCCTCAGCTTCCTAGAATACTAGTGACACAGAATTTTTCTTCCATTGTGAAATCTCTGCCCAATCCCAGGAAGTATGTTTTGCTTTGTATATGGAGATTAAATATAGAGAAAAATATATTTGAATAGTGATCAGCAGAACCTGAAATGCCTCAGCAGTAGCTCTCCATGTTTGAGAAAAGTTGTGAAGGACTATGAAAGTAATATTTGTCACAAACTACACTACATAAACCAGATTGAACCATTTTCTCATACTTCATTTTAACTTAGTAATTCAATTTTCCAATAACATTCAGCAGAAGTCCACAAGATTCACTACAAATTTTGTGCAAAAGACTGCAGTTCAAAAATCTTCACTGCTTCTAGCCATAACATGAAAATGCTTCTGCTTACGACCTGCCAAATTTTATGAGGATGATTTGGAGATTATAGGATTTTCAGAAATGGCATAAACATCAGAAAAGAAAGATGTCTTTCAAATCACAGATCTTGTCTTCAATGAAAAAACTAAAAGCATAACATAGTGTATGATTGACTAGCATGTAAGCTAATTGGTCGATAAATATAATATATTTTAGAAATTTTAACAGCAAACATAATTTTTTGTCATTGTATTAACTTGTCCTAGGTGATTATCTTTGTAAATAGAACTGTTGAATTCAGTTTAATCCTTTTATGGAGCTTCTACAGTACAGAGCGTTTATCTTTTCATTTGCGTTATAGCAAGATAAGAGCAACTTGTGACCTAGAGGCATAACTGGGTGCCCTTTTACATGTTGACAGAACCTATTTCTGCACCTGCAATCTAGATCATATGTAATACGCAAAGTTAGAAGCAAAGATTGTTAAAATAGTACATCATTCTTGGCATGTTTACCATGTATATTTACCATTTTCCGAGCGATATAATTTCTTCTAGTAAAAACAGTTAATAATGCTATCCCAAGATAATGTTAAATCTCACAAGCCAGCACAATCAACTCATATGTTCCTAGAATCAGTTAAGTATTAATGCAAAATAAGAAGAAAAAATAGAATTCTGAAGCACTTCTGGAAAGTTCTAAAGGCTTTCCCAAAGGTCCATTTTACTCAAATGTTTTAATAACATGAGCATATGGACCCATAGAAAAATGCTTGAAAAATAGAATAAATCCTCTGAAGTTTATAATTACAGTAGAAAAGCAGGGGCAAAGAACCTAGAATCAAAAAAATTTTGAGAGATCTTCAATCTTTTCTAATTCAAGACTTTATGAATTGCTTATATCTGACACTAACATTGATCTCTCTCTGAGGTATTACTTAGTACTTCTTTGCCTTCTTTTTTTGTAACTTTACTGTAAGGATTTCATGCATACTATTATTCTTGCATACATATACACACATATCACATACAAAAAGATACATATTGTATATACACAGATGCATAAGCATACTGAGTCACAATACCATGCATTGATGCAATAATCTATCATAACCACAAACATACCCTTACCAACGCATATATATCTATGCATAATTATCCATGCAATTACGTATGCAATCACATCTATGTACGTAATCATATATTCATGGCATATATACATATAATCACATAACCAAGGCCTCAATCATTCACAATACACATTGCATCCACCTAACAAGCCTATCAGTTTCTGTCCCACGATCGTCATGCTCATTTTTCAAATGGAAAAATGAGACACAGGGAGTGGTGATTTAAAACACAGTTCGTAAGTAATGAAGCCTGTTTTTGAAACATAAACAAATTGACTTGAGTCCATATTTTTCTTCAAAATGCAATACACATTTGCACCAAAATTTTCCTTAGTATTTATTCTAGTAATGTATTCCCCTGTGTTTATCATATAATTATACATTGTCTGTAGTCTCTTTTTACAATGTTTTTTTATCTCAAAATATTAGCTCTTTGATGGCTACCTCCATTTTTATAATTTCCTTTGCAGTATGTATTTCTTTAAACTGGAAAATAATATATATATATATATATATATATATATATATATATATATTCATTATTGTAAATTCTTATAAATGTACCATAATCTTTAAATGAGTTACATATTTTTATTCTTCCAAATTCCAGGCTACTCATGCCTAAATTCCTAAAAGTATTCAAACTACAATAAGTCTGTAAATTGGGCTCCTCAGTCTATTGTAAATTGAGACTGTTCTTTTTTTCCAATACTATTAATTAACAAATTCTACACACTTCCAACCCCAAAACAACATAAACATCCTGAGTCAATTCTGCATAATAAATGTGGCTATTCCTCCCATTGATTCATCTAAAGTACTTTTCAGTGATGAAAGCTGTAAACTTACCCATCAGGATGTTAGGGGAAGTTGAGGTCCCCATTTCCTCTATGGCGAACCTATAAGGACCAGCGACACTTTACTCAAGTACAAAAATATTTAATCAGATAATATATAATATTTTCTCAAAGGCCTCATATTCAACTTGAATGTCTGGATTCTTCGGCTAAGTTGACTGAGCAAGATTAACTAGAAAAACCAAAGTCACTTGAATGTAAGTGTGTGCAGTATTTAAGTTAATAGACTTGCAGTAAACTTAATAAGTTTTAACATAATTCTAGTAATCTTGGATTTTTTAACTTCTGAACACTTTTTGACCACTATCTGTAAATCATACAGATTTTCTTCGAATAAGTACAAAAATTTGGAAACATAAAGTTATAACAATGTATTTCACAGAAAAAAAAGTGGAGACAAAAAGAAAATTCAAAACTTTTTTATCTTTCCAGCAATATTGTGAAAATGGTATCAATAGGTTGTTTTTAATGAGATCATGTTTACCAATTAAAATACCTGTCTAAATTTTATTTACAAATATAAATTTACCAAATGTGAGAACAGTATATAGACAATGTTTTAGATCTTGCTTTTTTTAGATATAAGAATTCAGAGTATGTCATTTTGAAAAGTTTTGTGTCCACTGGGGAAGGAAAACACATATTCTGTGAGCAAGGTGTCAGACAACTAATTTGTAAACATAGAAATCTATGAAAAAGAATTAATATGTTTCTACTTTAAAACTGTCACTAAGAAATTTATAGTCCTGCAAAAATAGAAAATAAACTCAAGTAATATTAATCAATTTGCTGTCTTGCCCTCTTACATGTCAAGACTCTATTTAAAAAACCAAGAAATCAATGTGTTGTAGACTGTATATCTGTAAGGTAATTTAAAATGAAAAAAATCTCTCTCAGATTTCCATATCATTAGAGACTGATTCCTTTCCATGCTTCTCACTCTGTCTGAAAACAAGTGGTGTGGAGTATTTTAATTAAAATCCATCTACATAGGCATACAAATACATGTATAATCAATATCATGTTTAAAATATAAATCTGTAAATATAAAAATTCAGGAACTCATAGAAATAATGACCCACTGCAGATTTTAAGATGAACAGCTAATTCATGATATAAATTTATATAGAATAAATATAAATTCATTCTATATAAATTTATATATAATAAATCTTTCTCTTCCAAAAAACATGCACTACACTGAAGACTTGCTATTGTGTGTGTGTGTGTCTGTGTGTGTGTCTGTGTCTCATGTGTGTGTGTGCGTGTGTGTGTGTCTGTGTGTGTAGCGGGTGTGATGGTACTGGAGATTGAACTCAGGATCTTCACACTGAGCTACAAACCCAGATGAGCTAAACTGCTAAGTTACCTAGGCAGGGCTTGAATATTGAGTCTTCCTGCTCAACCATGCAAAGTGCAAGAAATACAGACATGTACAACCATGCCTAGTTTACACTAAAATTTTTCTTTTGATTTTTATATTTATTAGCATGTGTCTGCAGTATACACTGTCTACATTTATCATGGGGAGTTTGTACATGTACATAACACATTGTAACCCTTTTTACTTTCTCTTTCTTTTCCCTTCCTTTGCTCTCTGTCTAACTCCTTTCCCTTCCCATGTGCTAATGATCTCTTTCTTTATTTCTTATCATCTGTCATTTATTTTGTTTTTTAATCTACTTGAATTTTGGTTTCTCATATCAGAGAACCCATGTGACTGATATTTAAGTTCATGTGTCTAATTTATTTCACTTAACATTATGGTTCTGGTGTGCATCTATTTTCTTACTTATGACTCAAATTTATCCTTTATTTCAGAATAGTGTGTTGTTATGTAAAAATATCACGTTTTCTTTATCCATTCATCTGTTAATGGACATATAGGCTGCTTCCAAGATTTAACTATTATGAGTGATGCTGTTATATATATACCAGTAGGGGTATATGTAAGTCACTGTACTATGATATCCTTGGGAAAGATATCTAGGAGTGGAAGAACTGGATTGAATGAAATTTCTAGTTTAAGT